AATTCTCCCTTTGCCGTAAGATACATTATGAAAATTTAATTGTAAAAAAGAACCACAAATAACTACCTACATGAAATAGAATAAAAAGATTTAATAGGATCTAACGCATTCGAGATCAAAAGATAAAACAAGAAGTAGTAAGAAACGAGTAAAGGATTTCCTTTTCACTCTTCCAATGATTTATCTTAAAATCTTTCCACCTATTTCATTTCTCACACTACTAGATCGAGATTCTATAATCGGAATGATTATTCTCATTGGTATCCTTTATCAAACTTTCATAAAATCGAATATATTCAAATATACGTTTCGTTAGAATTTCGTTAGAATCGTGATCGTTAATTGTCGTTTTTATTTTATCACTCCGTAATTTATACGTACATTCGTCGAATAGAAATTTTCACTTTTGTCTTCGTCATACTATTAACTTAGAAATTATTTTACGATTCCTCCCTCCCTCGCTCTCTCTCCTTTAAAAAGAAAGAAAAAGAAAAAAAAAAAAAACAAAGAAAGAAAAAAAAATTACAAATTAGTCAATGAAGAATCTGAAAGGGGTAATAACGATATATAAAAATCATCCAAGAAATTTTCATATATCATAGAAAATGTCATAAACGATCATAGATACCTATACGTACGCGTTCATACACATTTATTAATTAATAATATCAGATTAATTTGATGAAGAGAAGAAAAAAAAAAAGGGAAAGGAAGAAGGAAGAAACATTCTCTTCGGTTCCTTTCCTCGGACACGGACTGAAGCTCACACGTTAAATACATACATACATATATACATACAACATGTACATATATATGTTTATATGTATATATACATATATATATATATATATATACACTTGGTATACGAGTTAATTTTATCGTCGATTCGATTTCGTGCTCGTAGTTAAGCTATACGATCATGGAGGCAGAACGAAGAGAGTTCCCTTCGAGTGTTCGAGGTGAATCGAATGAAGAAGAAGAAGAAGAAGAAGAAGAAGAAGGAGAAGAAGAAGAAGAGGAGGAGGAGGAAGAAGAGGTGAAGCTGGAGGAGGAGGGGCAGAAGAAGCTTACCAGGCGTATCGTAAAGAGACGGGTAAGCACCAGCCGGAACATTCATGCTCTAGTGAAATTAAATACTAGCGACTTGGCTTCCCTAGAGGCCTTTGGGGCCATTTAAATCTCTCGATTTAATTTCTGGCGGGAAAATTGAAAAACTTTAATTCGTACGATCAATCAATCATTTCTATTTTACTTTCTTTTATCGATATTAATATTAATAGATTTTATAGTTTATAATTAACGATGATATATAAACATATATATAATCTAAATAATTAATAATTATTTATATATATATATATATATATGTATATCTTATAATTAAAAATAATACTTTTAAAGAAAAGAAAAAAAAAAAGAATACAGTATCGACAATATGCGATTTATTATTATTAAAAATTTATTCTTATTAAATCGATAAAAAGGAAAAAAAGAAAAAAAGAAAAAGAAAAAAAGAAAAGAAAAGAGAAAGAAAGGGTAAAAGGTATGTACGTCTTAGCAAAATCTTTTAATCGTAATCATTGAATAAAAATCTAATAAATAATATAGATATATAAATAATATAGACGGATACGATCCACGTATATATGAAATTATGATCGATCTTTAAGATTCCGAGGAAGAAAGAGAAACCCGATGTAGGGTATTTTCTCTCTCTCTCTCTCTCTCTTTCTCTGTTTCTCTCTCTCTCTCTCTCTTTCTCCCACTCTCTCTATCTCTCTCTCTATCTCTCATGCTCCCAGGACTATCTCGTCATCCTGTTTAAGGTTACTCATCCGTATAGGGAGCGAGAATGAGCGTAGGTTGGTAGTAGTTGAAAGGAATATGTGTAACCAAAGCGAGTTAGTCTAATCGTAAGAAACGAACGAGGACGAACGACTTTTCTTCTTTTATTATATACACGTATTAACGTACACATACATCCATATAAACATTCGATACGCACATATACACTCGTACACGCACGTACATATACACGTATACATATACACGTATACATATATATTTTTCTTCCCTTTCTTTCTCACTCTTAAATGTGATCGATGTCACCCATAGCATATATACATATATACATGCATATATATATACACACATACATACATACACACACACACACACACACACACACACACACACACATATATATATATATATATATATATAAAATACAATACATATGAGATGACACGTATAGTATGGGCTAACCTATACGGAGCACATCCGGTCGTGACTCCAGAGTCAAGAGCACACGCGAATTACACTTTGGCATTGTACGATAGTAAAACGATGTAGTAAGCCGCGTAGTACGCGTAAACGAGAGACAACGGAGAAACGCATAAGCCACGAGTTTCGTTCTCGAAGGACATTCCCACTCCTACGCAAAAAAGAAACTTCGATTTCATCTCAAGATTCAAGACTTTCTCGTTTCTTCCCTTACGTCTCCTCCTCCTCTCTCTTTCTCTCTCTCTCTCTCTCTCTCTCTCTCTCTCTTTCTTCTTTTTTTTCTTTCTTGCTATCTCTCTTCTATTTCTTATATATATATATATTCATCTATCTCTCTCTTTCTCAAGAGATTCTTGTATCTTTATCTCTCTTGTTTCCTTTTATTTGGCTACTTTGTATCTCTCTCTCTCTCTCTCTCTTAAGAGATTCTTGTATCTCTATCTCTCTTGTTTCCTTTTATTTGGCTACTTTGTATCTCTCTTTCTCTCTCTCTCTCTCTCTCTCTCTCTCTCTCTCTCTCTTGCTCGTTCAATGTATTTGTATATCTTTATCATCCTCTTTCTCTTTCTGTATACTTTGTATGCTCGAAACATCGTTGATAAGTGTAAAAAAAAAAAGAAAAAAAAAAAAGGTTAATAGAGATCTACAGGATGCATGAATTTAACGGTTCCCATGTTTGCCTGGTAATATCAAAAATTTTTGACTGTTCCATAAATATATATATATATATATGAATATATGTATTTAGTAGTACGGCTCGAAAGTAGCGACATTTTGAAGCGAATTCGACCGTTAAACGTTTATCCGAGAGTATATATATATATACACACACCACACACACACACACATGTATGTATGTATGTATGCATGTAGTATAGGTAAAGCAAAGACACTTTTTAGCGACACGTGTTAACCAGAAGACGTTTTTTTTTGCGTATGTAATAAAAAATCTTTTTACCTTCATCTTTCGTTTTTTCCTTCCTTTTTTTCTTTCTTTTTTTTTTATTTCTTTCTTTTTCGATCGAGAGAAATCGATCAGAAAAAAAAAAGAAAAAAAAAAGGAAAAAAGTAAAATTCTTACGAAAAGGGAGATATTTCAATATTGTTGCATTATCGTTTCCCTTCGTGGATATCTTTTATTCGTGTAGGAAGGGAGAAAATATAATAAGATTCAAACGTTGATCATTCCTTCGATTCTCATTTTGAAAATCATTCTAATGTCTTTCTAATGAGATTTAAGGAGCGACAAAAGTAACGTTGAACACGCCAAGGAAGAACAACGTGGAAGAGTTGTACTGAAGTTTCCACCTCGTGCGAACGAACGAACGAAAGCGAATGGGACCGGACTCGACCGAGCTGCCCCTGAGGCCAGTGCCGGATCCTCCCGTCCAAGTGCCCAAGGTCATCGCATAGCTACTTACCTATACCTACCTCTTTTTATCTCTCCGCGTGTAATAATTCGTGAACGTTCTCACGAGAAGGAAGTTTCTTCCTTTCAATATCGTACGATCGTCCTACTCGCGTGCCTTCCCCTCCCATCCTTCTCTCTCTCTCTCTCTATCTCTCTCTCTCTGTCTCTCTTTCTTATCCTCCCTCTCCACCGACGATTTTACCTTTTTTTCATATATTTTTTTTCTTTTCTTTTTCCTTTCCTCGAATAAATTTACAACTCGATGACGACGTTGATTTCTTTCGACGAACATTTATGTTCTCCCTCCTGTGAAAACTATATATAAAAGTTGTAACCTCGATAAGGGATAGAAACTTTGATACATACGCGCATTACGCGTCCAAAAGAGAACAATCGTAATAATCTACGATATCGTAGAAGAAAATATAAAATGTTAAGGTTAAATATATATGATTAGTTAAATATATAAGATTTAATAGTGTGTGTATATGTGTATATATATACATATAAAATAAATGGTATTCGAGGTAACGAGCAACAGGTTTAACGCCACGTTGTCATTTCGTACGTTTATTCACACGTCGCTGCTTCCTATCGCGAATAAACGCGAAACGAAACGAGTTACACCGATCTAGTTCGGGATCGACCGAATAAAATAAACTTCCCACGATCATTACGAGATCGTTCGTCGTTCCTGTAAATGGAAAGAAAAGAAAAACTCGAAGGAAGGAGAAAGTAAGAAGAAGGAGTGGGTAACCGGACGAAGAAGAGACGTCCCTGAAGTCGAACGGCAGCGCGGCGGCCCTGTTATAGTCGAGCAGCTCGAACCAGTGGTCCCCTTTACACGATGCAAAAGACACGATGAGACGAGGAGGTAAGCAAGAGAGAAAGAGCGATGGAAATGAAGATAAAGCGTCTAAGAAACGAGAAAGAAAGAGAGAAGGAAAGAGAGGGATAGAGAGAAAAGAGGAGAGAAAAATCCCCCTTTCTCCCCGTTCACCGTCGCGCGATCAACGAACTGGCGTCGATATTGGACGAAACGGTGGTGGTGGTGGTAGGAATGGTGGGGGTAAGATAGGGTAGTAGCGGAGAGTAGTGGGGAGTATTCGGTCGACTCGTCTCTCGTGGGCGATGGAGGAGGGGAGTTAAGTCCGCGTCACGTGACCAGCCGGCTCGGGTCTGGCGCCTGGCTGGTGGGGGTAGGGTCACGTGAGCCGCTTGTGGCGCCGAGCGAGACGGTAGTGGCGATGCCGTTTGATGGTGGGGGGTTAGGGAAAGTCTCGGTGGTGGGGGAAATCTATCGAGCCGTTACCGTCGATCGTCGAGCTAAGCGGCATTGGCATTCTGACCTGGTAAGTCGCCAGTGTCGGGTCCGTGAGATATTACCGGAGTGTGTTGTGAGTGAACGACGGAAGCACGCTTTTGCATCCGTCAGGACATTTAAACAACCATAAAGATTACGGGCTACGACAAGTTATAAAAACGTCTCAGGGAGTCCAACGCAATCCTCCTTTTCGTTACGACGTGAATCTTCTCGTTTCTCGCGGTTGCCTCTTTTTTTTTTTAGATTTTCTTTTAAATCTCTCATACGTGATACAGGCACGTGCCGTTTCTCGAGCGTACACATCGTATAACACGTACACGCGTTCGAGAACGCGTAAAAAGAAGAATATAGAGCAGAATTTTTTTGCGATAATCGTCGAGAAACTCGCAACACCCACGCTTTATTTATTTATTTCTTCGATAGAGAAAGAAAGAGAGAAAGAGAGAGAGAGAGAGAGAGACAAACAGAGACAGAGAAAGAAAGAAAGAAAAAGAAAGAGCGTGTAAGTGCGAGGAAGAAACAGAGGACGACGTTCGAGGAAAAGATCAACGCCCGAGGATACGACAAGAGGTTATATATACAGTACGTACATACATCTTTCTCTCTATAGAGAAACATCGTTCGACGACAAGAGGTGTAACCGAGAAGAGAAGAAAGAGATTTTCTACTTACGAAAGAAAAGAAAAAAAGAAGAAAAGAAAAGGACGGATATACATATCTCTGAACGTCCTCTTGTTTCTCATTTATTTTCTTGAATTTTTTTTTGTTCTCTCTCTCTCATATATATATATATATATATATATATATACACACATCATATATATATTATATGTATATACACTTCTCTCTATTCGTTTACTCTTTATGGCAAATGATCTTCCTCGTGCATCATTTTCATCATTCATCATCGATCTCTCGTTAAACTGTAATACCAATTGAAAATAAAAACGCGAGAGTACTCGAGTGTTCTGCATATCCGTTTCGAAGTTGTTTACCAAAGACCCAAAGCACATCTATATTTTCCTTCTCTTCTTTAACACATACGCATATTCACACTTTTATATGTATGTATATATATGTACATATATATATATATAAATACGTATATATGCCTTGTTCTTCCTCTTTTTTCTCAGTTTTTTTTTCTCTCTCTTCTGCTTCGTTCCTGTGTGTTATATAGTGATCAGTGCTAAGTGCCGTTTAACCGGGAAAGAAAGACAAAAAATCTCGGCGTACGAGAAATAGATAAATACATAGAAAGAAAGACTGAAGTCTCAAAATAATACTCTCTTCGGTCGAACTTTATATATATATATATGTATTTTTTTTTTATTTGTATTGCTTCCTACAAGAAGATCGTTTAAGTAGTATACGTGCAAAAAGGGACAAAGTGAAGAGAAAAAGAAGGACGAGAGAAATACATAATACGTGAAATTCTTCTCTTTGTGATCACAGAGAGAGAAAGAGAATAGAATTATAAATACATACATATCATACGTAATACCAAGTTGTATAAAGAGAGAGAAAGAGAGAGAGTGAAAAAGGAAGATAGAAAATTATTTTTGAGGTTAGAATAAATCATGGATCTACTTTGTTGCGAACGAACGAGCGAGACAGAGTGCAGGGCGTATGCTGATCCGGCTTTGATCGAGAACGATCGAGTATTACAAAATCTTTTGAAAACAGAAGAGAGATATGCTCCAAATAGTTCTTACTTCGAGTGCGTTCAGAGGGACATCTCGCCGCTCATGCGCAAGATCGTCGCCGAGTGGATGTTAGAGGTAAGTCTAAACTGTAATCGAGAACTTCTCTCTTTCTCTTCTATCTTTGCTTAAGCATTTCCGGTCCATGTGTCTCCATTTTCTTTGACTCATTCTTATTATATATTTTATTTCTTTTCTTTCGTCGAACGACCGATCTTATTCCGATCGATTTATTCATTTATTTATTTATTTATTTATCTCACGATTAAACGATCATTTTCAAAATGGCAGAGAAAATAATTGCCGTTTAAATATCCGTTTGAGAAAAATTGTCGAAACAACTTTCATCTCACTCTTCTTCAATTTTCTTTCTTCTTCTTTCTTCTCCTTCTTCCTCTTCTTCGAGTTCGGACATTTCCGTTACAAAATGGACACCGTCCGAAGCACGAGGCGATTAGAAACACCATGTGAATGTCTTCTCATCGTTCCTTCGTCTCTTTAGCGAAATTGTCGATGACGTTCGCGATATCCAAAGAATGTGATTTTGTGTGGGTAAAAAAAAAAAGAAAGAAAGAGAAAAAAACGAAGAGCGAAACGATGCGTTTGCGGTTATGTGTCTTATTTTTCTCTTTCTTTTATTTTCTACATTTCGTTTTTTCCTCTTTCTTTCTTTTTTTTTTTTTTTTTTTTTTTTTTTTTTTTTTTTTTTTTTTTTTTTTTTAATAAGGAGATTAACTGACCACTTCGTTTTTTCGTCTTCGAGGTTAGAAATTTACGCTGTTGCCGTACTTAAACGGAAGAATCTTTATGATAATTGAATGATAATAAACTTTCTAACCCTCAGTTCATTTTTTTTTTTTTTTTTTTTTTTTTTTTTTTTTTTTCGTCAACGAAGAGAATCTTTTTTTTCCTCTCTTAATACTTAATCACTTTTATTAAATAATATTTCTTTCGTAATCGAGCATAGATTATTTTGACGTTTCTCGCTGACATCTCGATTCAGGTAAATTCCAATAAGCGATAAGACAAGGAAGATACATTGCCCAAAGATGATACGTTGACAAAGTTTTTTCTTTTTTCTTTTTTATTTTTTTTTTTTATCGCTGACGACGATCGTCTTTGCGTCGACAAGGCCGAAATATAATTTCGATAATCACCGACTTTAGAAACGAATTCTCGATCTTTCGATATAGCTCTAACGTTTATCACGATAAATTAATTTTTTCTTCATTTTTTTTTCTCTTTTTTTTTTTTACGAATTACATAAATAATTACAAACGCTATCGATGACGATATATGTATATATAAATAAATAAATATATTATTGAAGTTTTCGATAAAGAGAGAATATTAACGAATTAATCGTTACGAAAGGCAAGAATTTAAACGAACTTCGTAAGACGAGGGTAGACTGAGTAAAATAAAGACGATAAAGTTCACTCAGATTAGATAGTCGTGTTGAAAAAAAAGAGAGAGAGGGAGGGAGAGAGAAAGAGAGAAAGAGAAAGAGAAAGAAAGATGTTATTTCATATATATTATATTAAGTCTAATGGAAAGTTTTAATTTATAATTAATATAATTTTCTTTTATTTAATAATAATCCTTTAAACGAACGTAAGCATTTTTATTAGATAAGAATTAGCAAAAGAAAGAGAGAAATAATGAAACGATATACATATACATATATATATATATATATATATATATATATATATATATATATTAAAACAAATGTTCTTATTTGATAATAACAATCTTTGGGAAGGCTTCTTGCGTCTATAATTTATTAAACTTATAGCATATAATATAAATATATATATATATACATATACATATATAATTCCTATCAAGAATTCGCTTCTCGACAACGTGTCCGAACTTCCTTCCGTTTACAAATATGGTAACAAATGAGTTCCTTCTCTTCCGTTCGAACTCACGAATCGTTCCATATCTTTTCACTTTTATTTTGAAGAAAAAAAAAAAAAAAAGAAAAAAGAGCAAAAAAAAGAAAAAGGTGTCTATATATACTTAAATACAATATATGTATATATATATATTTAAATACAATATATATATATATATATATATATATACACATATATGGTATGTATATATTTCTCGTGCGAGAAGAAGAAAAAGAAGACGACGAAGGAAAAAGAATCATGGTGGTGCGTGCGACCGTAGCCGGCTCTCCACGCTGCTTACTTGGACATTTAAACTAGGGGCATTTAAAAGGCTGACTGGCTGGCGGCCTCAGGCACAGCAGCCAGCCGCCACGTTGCGTTGCCGGCGCTCGGCTAAGCGTCAGCGAATTCCAGAGTCACTCGTTTTCTCGACTACGATCGACTCCACTCGGCTTTCCTCGTCTTGCTCCGCCCCGCTTCGCCGCCGTTCGTCTCTTCTCGCGTTTTACTCCCCCTCCTTCTTTTACTCCTCCTCCTCCTCCTCCTCCACCTCCTCGTCTTCATCTTCGTCTTCGTCTTCTTCTTCTTCGTCTACGTCTTCGTCCCGAAAGGCGATCGCCCGAATCGAACCTGTCTGTACGAACTTCCTATAAACGATTCTAACGCTTCCTTCACGAGTAAAACTTATATGTATGTATGTATGTATGTATGTATGTATGTATGTATGTATGTATGTATGTATGTATGTATGTATGTATGTATGTATGTATGTATCTATGTATGTATGTATGTATGTATGTATGTATGTATGTATGTATGTATGTATGTATGATTATTTCTAAAGAGTTTAATACAATATTTATTTTTTCCCTCTCTCACTTTTCTCTTTTCTTTTTATTTTTTTTTTCTCAATTCTGCGATTTTTACAACCTCTAATAACGAATCACTTTCTCATTTCTTAAGCTAATGTTATATCTATCTATAATCGACGCCATATTTTCTTTTTTTTTTTTTTTTTCTTTCTTTTCGACTTTTTAACGACGTAATCAAACATCGGTCAGAAATCTGGCAGGAATCTTTGATAATCTTGCTTTTGCAATAGGGACGTTCGCGCGAGAGGTTTGATGTTAGACGAGCCGTGAAATGGATACTAGGATGATGATAGAAAGAGATACAGAGAAGATATCCACGATGTGTAATAGGATAAAGACAGAGAGAAGGGAGACACATACATTAGGGATTCCAACTTTCGTTTTGCGCAACCCATCGTGGTGGACGACTACGAGTAATTGCAACGCTCGGGTAGGTTCCTAAGGGTGACCTTGAAGTATATATGCGAGTTCTCCGACAAGTCTCGAACGTGACTGTGGATATACACTCTGCCGTCTGTTATTTCTCTATACGGGGTCCTTCTATGTCATTTAGAATTAGCGGGAAGATTAGATGGAATAACAGTTAATAATATAACGATAAATTATTTCTAATCGCGGATTGTCGTTAACATCTCTTTACTATTCTTATTATTTTCTTTTTTTATAAATTAACGCAAGAAAAAAAAAAATATGAAGAATATTTGCCCGCGTCAATTTCATTCGAGGGTTTTCTTCGCGTACGTTTCAATGTACCCATCGAGAAATTATTTTCAATCATGGAATTAATATAAAACGTGTTTCTACATTTCGCCATCTTTTTTCTTTATAAATTTGTATAAAAAGATGGAGGATGTCGTTCCAATTCCATTAACGTTCCTTTGTTCGGTTAGTTCCTAATATATAAAGCAGGTATAAAAGGAGCGAGATCTCGATCGACTTTCTTCAAGGTTTCTCGATAGTCGATAGCAAGAATATATATATATATATATATATATATATATATATATATTCTCGTAGAGTTGTATTTTTATCGGAGACAGAATGTGTCTTCTCACTCTCTCTCTTTCTCTACCTCTTTACTTCGAAGAAAGATTACCAAAGCTATACGCAGCTTTTGGTTAATGTTTGAACAGATGCGCGATAATCGACGATTTCGTACCGATTTCGTGATCTTTCCTATTTGATCTCCTTCTCTCTCTCTCTCTCTCTCTCTCTCTCTCTCTCTCTCTCTCTCTCTCTCTCTCTCTCTCACTTTCTTTCTTCCCCGTTCTTTCTTTTTTTTCCTTTCATTCTTTCTTTCTTTTTTTTTCCTTTCTCTTTTTATGAGAAAAAAAGGAACGACGAACATGAAACATTCGGATATTGAGAAACAGAACATTTACAAATGTCGACGATCGGTTAATAATGTTAAAGAATTTTTTATTTCGTTCTCCTTTCTCTCTCTCTCTCTCTCTCTCTCTCTCTCTCTCTCTCTCTCTCTCTCTCTCTCTCTCTCTCTCTCTCTCTCTCTCTCTCTCTCTCTCTCTCTCTCTCTTCTTTCTTCATATTAAAATTGAATTTCGAAGAAAAAATCTTTTATACTTTTTCTATGCTTTTGTATTTACAATTTTATATTTTTTACTTTCGTATATTATTATTATTATTATTATTATTATTATTATTATTATTATTATTATTATTATTATTATTATTATTATTATTATTATTATTATTATTATTATTATTATTATTACATATTAATAATTGAAATTAAAATTAAAAATAAATATATAAAGTTTTCTTATATTTCTATGCTCGAGAGTGTGAAAATTCCCAATTAAAAAAGAAAGATAGATAGTTATATAGTCAAGGGTTTTAATTAGCTGCTATACGTCGTGTTGCGTGGGGGTAATTTAGAAGGGTAAAACATTGGTCACGCTCAATAAGTCGACGTGGTTCGTTCCTTCGTCGTCTTTCTTGCGTGTGGAATCACCTTGAGGCATCGAAGCAGAGATAATTCACGATCGTTCCATAATTTAAAAGTACGTATTATGTGTATTTATGTATGTATGTGTATAAACACACGTGCATGTACACACAAGCGTGCTCGCGCGCGCGAAGCACTTTTTTTTTCATTCTTGTAGAACTATCTCCTATATTCGACAATCTGAAATGTTGTTTTTCTTCGCTATCTTGATTACTAAATGTGTGTGTATGTGTGTATGTGTGTGTATGAGAAAAAGAAAGAGAGAAAGATAATAAGATGATTTTAAATGACACGAAATACAGGGTGTGTCAAAAGTTTTTAAGTGATTTTAAAAATCAACCAAATAATCTTTCGATGAACTCCTTTAGTCTCGCAATTGTGGCATAACAAGTTAGGTTTTGTCGTTTTGCAATATGAAAAACGAAAAAGAAGAAAGAAGAAACAAGAATTAATATAAAAAAGAAGAAAAAAAAAGGTCTTGTAAAAAAGTAATTGTGATTTTTATTATTACCTAGAAGCCTTTTTGAAAAAAAAAAAAAAAGAAAAAAGAAAAAGAAAGAGAAAAGAATTCTTTTTATTTTGTTTCCCACGCAAATTATAAATACTTTAGAACGATGGATATACATTCGCATGAGTATAATATATCTCTATGTTAGATCACTTTTCACGATTAAAGCGCACGTGCTTCTTCTTCTTCTTCTTCTGCTTCTTCTTCTTCTTTTACTTCCCACGTATCATAGCTCGGGTCTTTAAATATAGCGTTCGTGTCATAATTTCACCTTTAAAAAAATTCGTCATCTGACGACTATCGTATATATACTTCTCTATCTTTATTCGTAATTTACTATATACGTATCGTTAAATGCCTCCTTGTTTTATTAATTTTCTGATTTTTAAATAATCCAACTTTTTTCCTCCTCTTTTTTTTTTTTTTTTTTTTTTTTTTTTTTTTTTTTTTTTTTTTAATTTTGAAAACATTGACAAATCTGCATTCAATTTGGCAAACTTTGAACAATAATATTTACATCGAAGAAATTTGTATCGATTAATAGTTCACTCTCTTTTCCATATTGTAATTCACATTAAATAATTATCATGTTATTAAATTTACTATAATTTTTAAATTACTATAATAATATCTTAATAGAGACGTTTAAAAGGTGATTAAGTTTTATTTGACGTCAATCCAAAATATATATTCCTATTTTGATCAAATTGTTATATCTATAATATAATATAATCGACGTATAGCACCGTAGTAGTATTTGACTTTGCGATGACCTCGTTGAGCCCTGTGAAAGTCACGTTTCCATTTTTAAATGGAACCCCTCTATATCCTTTATTACATATTCTTGCAGCTGACATCAAAACTGTTTCCAAAACACTACCTACACATTTATCCTTTTTTTTTTCTTCTTTTTTTTTTTGACTTACCGTGTAATAAATACTTAGCATCATAATAATAAATAAAAAAAAAATATATATATATATATATAATAGATGGATATCAAATTAATATTAAATTAATTAAATATATATATATATATATATATATATATATATATAAACCATCAGAAAAAATAATTAAAACATTAATATAGCAATCAATGAATTATATTAAATAAATTTATTTCTTATTTGCCATGAAGTTTTAAGATTCGAAAAAAAAAGAAAGAAAGAGAGAAGAAAAAGAAAAAAAACCGGATTTTAAATTACGTTCGTATATTCTTAATTAATAAGGATATATTTTTTTTTTTTTTTTTTTTTTTTTTTTTTTTTTCTGACGGAAAGAAATAAAAATGTCGGCATCCTTAATATTCGTGAGTTTAGGATATAAGCGGGATCCTTAATCCGTGCCTTAGGATATGCATATACACGGTGTCGCACGCTTAACATTCAGGACACGAGCAATAATCTCGAGTTGACTGAACGACAGAACGATAAAGTTAATCTTCGAGCGTAAAAAGGGTCAAACGTGGTCAAGCGCTCGGCATTAACCTTTCATCTTAGTACACGCGATATATATCGACAAATTTTGCAACGTTTCCCCATTACCAATATACATGGTGAGATATAAGTAGACAATAAAACCGTAGATTATAAAATCACAAGGTAACTAGCTTATGATACTAAAACTTTATTTTGCATAGTTGTATGAACAATATTTCGAAATGAATTGATTTTTAAAAATATCTAGGAACTTTTGCCTCACTCTGTGTGTGTGTGTGTGTGTGTGTGTGTGTATTTATCGTTGATATTCATCTCGAAATAAGAAATTTAAGAGATCGAACATAAATTGTCGTTGAGGTCGACGACACCATAGGAACCATCGTGAAACCATATCCTTGCCGACCTTCGCACGTTATTACGAAATCGCGCGAAATATTTCTCTTTCATTCACTTCTTTTTTTTCGCACTTTAAAATTGATTTTGTGTCCTTTTTTATTTCTTTATTTTTTATCAACGATCGTTCGATCTTTGGCCGCTAGGTAAAAAAAAAAAAAAAAAAAGTCGTTTTCTTTCGAAATATACAAGTATGTATATGTCGTTGTCGTATAAGTAATGGTATAATTAAAATCGCGTTATTGTAGAAATATTTCTATTTTTATTTCAATTCATTTTTTTCCCCCTTCTTTATTTCCCCATTTTATTTTTTCCTTCATATAATATAATCAGTCTATCAGAAGTATTTCGTCTTTTTTATTTTTTTTTTTATTTATTTATTTTTTTTCTTTTTATAGTAAAATTTATATACATTTCTTTATTTATTTTCTGTTGTTTGCACTTTTATTTATTATTGATTTTAATTAGGATTAAAAGATAATCCCGAAAGTTAATTGAAGGTTAATCCCGAATAAAATTTCGCTTGGACCGCAAATTTTGTTTTAAATATCGTACAAACAATTTTTTTTTTCTTTTTTCTTTTTTTTTTTTTTTTTTTTTTTTTTTAACAAAAAAAGGAGAAAAGAAATAATTTTAATGGAGAGTTACGATCGAAATCGATTAGTCTCTAAAATGAATTTAATCGATGGTTGCAGGTATGCGAAGAGCAAAAATGCCAAGAAGAGGTCTTCCCCCTATCGATGAACTACGTCGACAGGTTCCTCTCGATCTGCCCGATCAGGAAATCGCAGCTGCAACTATTGGGAACGACCTGTTTACTCCTCGCATCGAAATTACGAGAAGCATCTCCGTTAACAGCCGAGGTCCTTGTTTTCTATACGGATAACTCCGTTACTCTTGATGATCTCTGGGTAAGTGAAGTATCTTTTCTTTATTATTTATCATTTTAAATTTAATCATCATTGCTAATATTAAAACATCTTGTGTCTCTTTACATTTTCTTTTTATTATTATCATTTATATATAATATTTTATATATTAATTTTTTTTTATTATTACTTTCAATTCATTATCATATTATTTGTATAAATATTTAATCAAATAATTATTTAACAAATTGATCATTAAAATTAATATACGTCGTTATTTAAACATTGAAATAATTTATTAATTATAAAATCGTTTGTCAATTGAAAAAGAAAAAGAAATAGAATTCGAAAGAAAATTAAATCTATCGCTTTAACATTTAATACGTGAGTACGATGATATATATAAAACAAAAACAAAAAAAAAAAGAAATAGAATGAATTAAGCCACCTTCGTATTAATATTCTCTGTGTTATTATGGATCATATTAAATAAATCTATAAATGGACACTAATCTAAGGCTCTTTATCTTTGAGATATATTCGATGCTTCTTTACGAGAAGATCTTTCTTTTAATCGTTAAAAGGGAGAGGCATTACGTAAACACCGGTTTTCTTAACGTAAATCGATCGTTTTCTAACGAGTTCGTAGTAAGATTAGATTTTTTTTTCCCTTTTTCTTCTTTTTCATTTTACTTCTTTGCGCTTTTTTCTTTTGCGAGTAAAACGTGATATCGTAGCAATAAGGTAGATCTTAGAAATAGAACGTTAAGAAGATATATGTCGTCTCTTCTACAAGCGTTTCAATATCGTCAGTTTCAATCTTCTTACAGATTCAGTAGTATGTTACTCGATAGTTCTCGGTCATATGAGAGTATATACACTCTTTCTCTCTCTCTCTCTCTCTCTCTCACTCTCTCTCTCTCTCTCTCACTCTCTCTCTCTTTATGTATATATATATATGTATATATATATTATGGGAAATGTAATACGTAATAGTTCCATACGAGATTCACGTAGAAATATTTTGTCGTCTTTTTACTTCTTTGGATAGAAGGATTAAGAGAGTTCTATGTGTGTAGATGTATACATGTGTGTAGATATATACATGTGTGGGTGTGGGTGTGTATATATATATATATATATATATATATATATATAAATGTTCATCTTGCATACGTAATACGATTCTTGCTGAGACAACCTCATTACTGTTATTTAGATAACGTGTGTATGTGCGACAGAGAAAGAGAAAGTGAGAGAGGGAAGAGTGAAAGATAAATAGAAATTAGTTTTATTATATACACATTTTTACATTTAAAGAAATCTTTCATATTGATTTTATTAAGTGTTGTTAATTGAAAAGAAAATGAGAGAGAGAGAGAGAGAGAGAGAGAGAGAGAGAGAGAGAAAGAGAGAAAGAAGTATGCGGTTGAATGAATTTGAACATTTATCATATAACCTTTGAGCACTAAGATGCGAATCAAAATTGGATATATTTAGATATGAATACTTCTAAGCAATATATAAAAGACGATAAGAGTAAGAGAGAGTAAGAGTAAGAGAGAGTAAGAGAGAGAGAGTAAGAGAGAGAGAGAGAGTAAGAGAGAGAGAGAGAGAGAGAGAGAGAGAGAGAGAGAGAGAGAGAGAGAGAGAGAGAGAGAGTAAGAGAGAGAGAGTAAGAGAGAGAGAGAGAGAGAGAGAGAGAGAGAGTAAGAGAGAGAGAGAGAGAGAGAGAGAGAGAGTAAGAGAGAGAGAGTAAGAGAGAGAGAGAGAGAGAGAGAGAGAGAGTAAGAGAGAGAGAGAGAGAGAGAGAGAGAGAGAGAGTAAGAGTAAGAGTAAGAGTAAGAGTAAGAGTAAGAGTAAGAATAAGAATAAGAGTAAGAGAGAGATCGAGTACGCGAGAGATTGTCAAGAGTCGCTGAAAATTAAATAATGGTACTATCAGCCCGTTATCTATTTAGGCTTGCTCGAGCTATCACTTGTTTGCTTCGAGTTATTCTGTCGCATTCTCAAAAAAAAAAAAAAAAGAGAGAGAGAGAAAGAAAAAAAGAAAGAAAGAAAGAAAAAACTGATACTCGATTTTGGATATTCGAAAAAATTTCAAATGTTTTCGACAAATAATTTTAATAGGATTCTTAAAAAAAAAAAAAAAGAAGAAGAAGAAAAGAAACAAAGAAATACATAAAAATAAAATAAAATAAAATAAAAATAGCAGGTGTTCTTGATCGAATCGATAACCGGTGCCACTAGTCTTTCCTTCTATCGTTTTTCTCTCTCTTTCTTTTTCTATGCGCATACGTTTCGATAAATCGAAGTTGAAACGCGAGACGTATAATTCTACTACCAACATACTTCTTTCGGATTTTCTCCATTGTAAAACTTGATACGTTTTACAATCACCCTAGAGTTTTTAGATTCTCTCGAACAGAAAATAACCGTAAATTTCTCCTATAAAACTTTCATGCGATTAACATATCGAACGGGATGATCAATACGATTTTTAAAGAGAATACAACGAGTCTCACGGGTACGACGCAAAGCAAAGATTTTGATATTTTCGAGTAGATTTTTTCTAAACAATGTAAAACATCTTGAATTTGTTTTTTTTTTTTTTTTTTTTTTTTTTTTTTTTGCCTTATATTATACCCCTTATTACTTGAAACTTTAAAGTCACGCGTTTACGTTTATCTACATTTCTCAATTTTTTATATCGACTTATCGTGCGAAAAATTTAATTAATGCCATTAAAATATGATTTACAACAACGATTATATTGAGCTTTAATTATATTTGATATAAATAATATTACAACTTTCACACGCGTTATATAATTTTTCTTGTATATAATAGATAGGAAAAGAAAGGGAAGTTCGGTTATTAGAGGTTTGATGTCGTATCGTTCGCGTTTTTAATCGCTACAAAAATAAAAATAAAAATAAAAAAAGAAATTCGATCATTACTCAATCATTCAATCAATTATTAGTAAGAAAAAGAAAAAAGAAAAAAGGAAGGCAAGATAATGGAATTAAAAAATTCGTATAAATTTACTTGAATGAATTCCACTTGTTATCAACAAATTTGCACTTTGGCCAGACATCGGGCGCCATATTGAAAGAAGCGGAGATATGCAAAGTTTGCAGTTTTTTTAAATTTCAATTTATTAGAAATCGAACAGCACAGACTTCTCTCTCTCTCTCTTTCTCTCTCTTTCTCTCTCTTTCTCTCTCTTTCTCTCTCTTTCTCTCTCTTTCTCTCTCTTTCTCTCTCTTTGTCTCTGTGAGACTCTGTCTGTCTATCTGTCTTTCGCTTCCGTCAGTATATACATGGATTGAAATCTTTCGAAACAACATCGGAGTCTAAGAGAACCGGTGTTGGTGTGAAAGAAAGAGAACGATTTAATCCAGTGTGTGCTTCGCAATGGCGACGACGTTATCCTTCTCGAACGATCCAGATAAAATAAAACTAATGCCATAGCCACGTGGCTCTTCTTATCCCTGGTATATCGTTCGAAAACAGAACGTGAAAGAGTGAGAAGGAAAAAGCTAAGTATGTAAACGAAAAGAGAGAGAAAGAGAGAGAGAGAGAGAGAGAGAGAGAGAGAGAGAGAGAGAGAGAACGGAAAAAAGAGAAAGAAAAAAGATCAGATTTGCAAAATCGCGGTACTCCTTCACCATGCTCCTCCATAATACATATAAACTTTTGCTATCTTTCTTTTCTTTTTTCCCTCTTTTCTTTTTTTTTTCTTTTTTTTTTTCTCTCATTTCATTCAAGATGATTTCCTTGGCTATTGCGATTTACTCAGGCCGCCGTTAACCGAGATTTTGCACACGAACAAAGGATCGATAAATACCATTTGCGATATCGATCGTAAACATACACATAGTCACATAGATTCACACAAGTTTCTAAAGAATTGAAAATAGATTGTCACAGCTATGTATACATACAGAAATACATACATATATACATATATAGAGATACATACATACATATATACAGAGATACATACATACATATATACAGAGATACATACATACATACATATATATATATATATATATATATATATATATATATATATATACATACATAGGGAACTTTACGAATGGAACATCGAAGAGGGGGAAAAAAAATAGTAGGTAACATGGCGGCTGTTGGTTTTCTCATGCAAAACCTTTTGTGGATTTATAAATTGCAAAGAGAAACGAAAAATAGAAATAAGAAAAAAAAAAAGGAGAAAAATGTAAAACGTTTAAAAGGACAACCGGTTTTCTTCTAATCGGTTCTAAACGACTCGTAGAATTTTTCTTTTTTTCTTAATGCGCCATTGTTGTGTGCAAAGACAGTACGTTAAACCTGTCAGGGGATTTATGTTACTAATACTAACGTAACATAATCACACATCATTATCATCGAGTTGTCATTATCATTCTGAGAACATCACTGCTATTACGTATTTCTTCTTCTTCTTCTATGGGTTTTCCACGATATTACTATATTAGTATGGTGGGGTTACTATTACTATTACTATTACTATTACTATTACTATTACTACGGACGCTACGATCATTATTATCTGTCAGCTGTTTTATCGTTCCTCTTTGTTTACTCACTCGACCTGATTATACTCTACTACTGCGTTCTAGGCCTACGTGACAGATTGTATATTGAACGCTGACATTCTTTTCTTTTTCCTTTTTTTTCTCCTATTTTTTCTTTTTCTTTTCTTTTCTTATTTTTTATGAGATCAATATAAAATATATATATATATATATATATACACACCTATACATATATTCGTGATCATTTTTTTAGACCACAGAATTTTCTAAAAAAAGACACTTTAGGTCGATCCTAGTTTTATTTTCAAATTGTAAAATTACTACAAGCATCTAGGAATTTTTTATTCATCCTTATGCATTATCATAGAAAATTTTGATGTTTCCCAATTCTTTCACGGTTCGTTTACTGAGATAATAAGAGAGCATGAAAAAAGAATTTTTTTGGAGGGGAGAGTGGGGGGAAGAGAGTAAACAACAAGATAAAAAGAA